GCTGTCCCACATGTGCAAGACTCCTATCACTGCCCAAGGCATTTACTAGATCAAGTCAAATAAGAATAAATCTTTATTTGTTTCTGTGAATCCCATGTCTGGAAAGGCAGACAAGGCTGACTATAATTACAGTGAAAGACTTCTAAGTAGTTTTTTAAAGTGACATTTCTTGCAACTCAAAATATAAAAGCAGTTATAAATAAAAATAAGCCCTTTATTAAGAACAATCTTTGGTTAGATTTTAAACATGTTAGGACAACATTTGGTTAACATAATTCACTTCCACATAAAGAGATTTTTGGACAAATCATAGTAAAACTGAATTAATCAAAAACTTTGCATGGAAATTAATCAATATCCAACTATGTCATAATTTGGTGTCATTTTAAATTGTTTTGCACAGAAAGAACCACTGGTTATTAACCATTGGTCTGGGACATTTCGTTTGGTAATAAACCACACAGCAGGTTAACTTGCAATATACTGCCAGATGTGGCAGATTGTGAATGCGGTTTCACTTCCTATCAAAATGAACCTACGGTATATTTGTCACTTTACATGATACATTGATAATTCAGTGTATGATACCAGGCAGACCCTAAACTAAAAATATACTATATATATTTGCATTTTACTGCAGCAATGGGCTTCCTCCCAGGTTGCAGCTGCATAGAGGATGGTGGGGAAATGGAGGTAGTGCACTGTTAGGAACTCACACCTGCCCCCAAGTGTTTTTTAGAAGACTTTTGATTGTGCGTATCAATTTATTTTATGTATACATGCTGCCTTAACCTCTCAGACATAAGGTGGCTAACAAAGCAGCAACAGCTGCAAGGACACACAAACAACTTAAGTGAATGCCAAAAGTGGAAGGTTTGACACCATTTTAGAAAGAAAAGATTATATATATAATTTACAAAGAAGATAATTAGTTTATGCCTGCCACATCGATTCTAGGTGCTCACCTGCATCATTACAGTTGTCACACCACATTTGTGCAGCAATTAGTAACTCCTCTCTTAAGCACCGTACCTAACGTTAGATATGACTGGGCTCTTGGCACAAATGGTCTAAGACTAGGACTTGAAATCAAGATCTGGGTTACTTCTTCTAGTGCTAATATTAGGAGGAATGTTGCCATTTTCCTTGGCTACCTGGATGCTATTTACTGCCAAGTGCACGGAAATAGCAAAGGAGCCTAAGCTGATTTCCCCAGTACCTTCACTTGAGGATCAATTATCCCTTTATGTTTTGTACCCAGGTACATATACAAATACTTTCAGCAATACAAGCTGAACACTGGCAAGTACTATATAAATGCTTACTACTATTACAGCTAGGGGCAGGTATGTATAAAATTCTATGTGGGTCCTTTAAACTTCCTCAGAAGTAAGGCCCCCATTCTTTACCAGTGGCTGCTTCCAAATATTTTAAAGAGGCATGCACCAAATTTTACATGTACATGCCCTTCGTGCCTGAAGGCATTAAGTATTTTGCACTAGGCCATCTATACCAAGTATCAAAGGCTAAGTAAAAATTGGCCCTGAGATCTATGGAGGCTCCTGGCTGCTTGAACAATGATGGTGCCATAGCTAAGTAATTATGTGTAATGATGTGCCGCTGCAATAAGTTTTAGGGTAGTCTGATATATACAATATTAATTAAATTTACATGATGCCTCATGGATCATAGGAAAAACTGCCTATAAAAACATCAGAGTACAATCCTAAGCAAAGTTATACCCATGTAAGTCCACTTGAAGTCAGTGGGCTTGGCAGGGTATAACTTTGCTTAGGATTGCACTGTTAGAGTGGAACATGTTACTATTGCTAGAAGCTCTCAAGACAAGGTGAAGGATCCAAACTTTTTTGGTGTTAAAACAGAGTGTAAACACAGTGGGCACATCAGATACCAATAGTGGAATCTGTGGGATATAGTTATCCCTGAACAGACAATCTAAAGAAAGGTAAAATAATGGTGCAATGAATAAGCTAAGAATACAATGAACTAGAAAATGAACTAGAATACAATGAACTAGAAAATGAACTAGAATACAATGAACTAGAAAATGAACTAGAATATTCAAGAGAAAAAATACCTCCTCAAAGTCATTGTGAGGTAAAATATATAACTCAAAGTTATTTAGTACCAGGGACGTCTTACCACCCCCGTCCCCAACCAAGACTTTGTGAGTGATCTGTAATGTTACTACTGGTATTAAAAAACCCACACACATTCAAGTCTCGCCAAGGACACTCTATACCAGAATCTTTAAAGTAGTTACTAAAGGATGCCACTACTCCACATCCTTTGCTGTCGTCTCCTTTTGCCATTCCTTTCTGCAATCACTCTCCTTCCCTAATTCACTTGTCTGCCTTTCCTTTCTCTCCTAGTGCTGCCTTTTGAGTTGACAGAGATTAGCATCTGCCCCTGAATTTCTCTCAGCTATTCTGTGGGGCTTAATGCCAAGATAGAGTGTTTAGCTTCAGCAAGCCTAAAGAGAAACATAAAGGTAAAGCCAGGATCAACCAGAAGCCCATTTGGATATACTTTTCATTAGTAATAATTTGGGCACTTTCCCGGGAAGCCCAGATCTTTGTGATGGACCTAGGAATCCAATTTTTAACAATTGAACTGAATAATTCTAATTTTAAATTTGATCCAAGTAAGATTATAAGAATGGGTAATAAAATTCCCTCCTTCTTACAGGAATTGTTCAGTTGCCTTTGCGAAAGATGAATATGAGGAATCAACTGCTTAGCATATCAGCCGAGCCCTAGACATTGTCTAGACCAGTATCTTGTGTTCATCAGTGGTCAGTCACATACCTACAGGAAGCCTACAAGTAGGGCATGAACACAAAAGCCTTCCTGCACTATATATCCCCAAACCTACCATTTAAAGGGGAGGTTTCATTTAGGTATCATGCCTAATATCTTTTAGTAGACTTGTCTTCCATGAATGTGTCTACCTCTTCTAAAGAGTCATCTAAACTAGTGGCTATCACTACATTTGGTGGTAGTGAATTCTGTAAATTAATCCACGGGCAGATTGGCCATTATGTCTACCAGGACTTCTGCCACTGAGTGAATTCCCCCTGCTGTGGGCTGGGCCAGCCAAGTGACAGAAGGCCCATGTGAGAGAGGCGGCACACATTCCTCCTGAGCCCTGAATAGGGAAGATGGCATTTGGGGCTGCCTGAGCCCCATGCAACCCAGGGGGAGACAGTACACAGCCTGGAGAAGCAAAACCTGGGCTGCCCCAGCCATGCTCAGGAGAGGTGGTGCCAGACCCAACCAAGCCCACATGGAAAGGTGTCTGGTCAAATGGGCAGGTGGTAGGTTGACTCTTGTTCCTTCCCTCCTTGGGGGCAGGCCCATGGTCCTTTTCTGGAGCTCTTTTCTCTTCCCAGTCTGCCCCTGAATTAGTCACTCATTTTGTGAAATAATACTTCCTCTTTTCCTGCTCTAAGGCTGATCAATTTCACTGGTGACCTAGTACTATGAGAAACGGAACCCAGCCACTCTCCACTCCCTGTGTACCATTAATAATTGCGTAAAGTACTATCAATATTCCTTTACACAGTTTTTCCTTTAAAAAGCCCCAAGTTTTCATTAGGTAAGTACTCCAACGGTTTGATCATTTTGGTGTGGAATAGGACAAGAGGAATGACTAAGGATGGAAAGGGGCAGAGAGGTTATAAAGGAACAACATTAAAGTGGTGTTAACAGGCAATAGGGTTTTTGGATATCATAACTACAAAAAGTAAAGAAACCGAGACCTTTAGTGATTGAAACTGTAGGAGTATTATGGAATCTGAAAGCATAGGATGTACTAAAATACGAGATGCCTGGCTATACTGACCAGGGATGACATCTGAGCATAGATGCTTAGGAAATAAGGTTATTCAGTATATTCTTCAGCAACTAGGTATTCTTGCTTGTGGTGGGCAGTGCACGTTTCAAGTAGCTCTACATGTGCTCTTTAGTTCAGGGCACTTTTTAAAAAGGCCCTTCAGTGCTTGGGGAAGTTGTGCTGTTGCTAATATTCCATCTTGTCCTCTGGACCCCCTCTGGAATGTGCACTAGATGCTCTGCATTAACTAAATGCCCTTCCACAAATTCTTCATCTCTTATGTAAAAAGAAATGAAATCTATTTAAGTGATCTGCTCTGAGTAGCAGGAATAAAGTATCTCGCTCTGACCATTTTTTGTGTAATTATGAATAAAGTGCAGCTGAGGTGAGGAATTATACCAATAACTGGAGATTCCAGTAAAGTAAGAAATAAACCTATGCTGCCACTGCTGTGACTTATGGAAAAAACCCCCCAGAGTAATCAGAATAGAAAGCCCAGGAAATTTAACAGGACTTCTCCTCTCACAAAGTCTTCAGATTCAACTCCAGAGATGTTATGCCAAAGTCTTGCAAAGAAACATGCCCAATTACATGTTTATTTGATTTTACTGGTGTAAGCAGTAATATGTAATGAATGACATTGGAAATGGGGAGCAAATTTTTAAAATACTTGCACTTTGATGTTTCCCTTCGGTTGTTTCTCAATAAATAAGCTAAAATAAAATTCTCAGAGAACAGCCTACTGAAACCTACCTGCTTAAAATAAAAATAAAAACAGCGATAGAAGCTAACCATGAAATATATATTTATATTTATATAATATGTAAAAAAATCCCTGCATTACTTGTTGTGCAAAAAAAAAAGTTGTTCAAAACAGAATATGGTCCTCCGTCTGTGTAAGAGCATTATTTCTCACACACACATAAGCAAAATGGTTGCATATGCTTAAACATGCACCAGGTTGATTAAGAATCAAGTCGTCATGGCTTGTTTATGAATGGAATGCCCCAATGTAAAAGCTAAAATAAAATTCTCAGAGAACAGCCTACTGAAACCTACCTGCTTAAAATAAAAATAAAAACAGCGATAGAAGCTAACCATGAAATATATATTTATATTTATATAATATGTAAAAAAATCCCTGCATTACTTGTTGTGCAAAAAAAAACTTGTTCAAAACAGAATATGGTCCTCCGTCTGTGTAAGAGCATTATTTCTCACACACACATAAGCAAAATGGTTGCATATGCTTAAACATGCACCAGGTTGATTAAGAATCAAGTCGTCATGGCTTGTTTATGAATGGAATGCCCCAATGTAAAACAACTTCCTCTTCTACACTTCAACATGGCATGAATGACATGAAGACACACTTCCCCTATGGCTCATTGATGGCCTGGGGCTGTGGTTATTACAGTTTTCACCTTTCTTTTTGTCTTTATCTCTCCAGGTTTCTAGCAACTGCAGTTTCCCTTGTTCTTCCTTCATGAAGACCTCCACCATAAGAACTTTTTCTTTATGAATTTGCTGACTAATGTCCTTAGGGATGTCTGGAATAATCCAGTCCACGAAGTCGCTCATAAACATGACCAAGTTCTGAGAAAAGTGAGATGGAAACAGTTATGAGAAAATGTTAGCAAAGTCAAATCTAAAGACACGATGCAGCCTTAGGAAAATGTGAAAATCCATTTTGCTTCATTAGCTGTCCCACTGAAGTCAATGAGACTTAAAAAGTGCTTATCTGTGTTTGTAAATATATCTGCTTGGAAGTAAACTCCACTGAAATCAATGGGAATTACTGCCAAGATAGGTCTGATATATAAGAGTTTTTCAGAATCCTCTATGATAGCTGTATCTCTGTATAATGTACACAACTACATTTTTTCAAAGGGTGTTTTACAAAACTAGTTATTCTTGGACACAGTTCACTGATACTTGCACAAAACACAGATGATGACAAACAAAAGAAGGACTTTGGATTAGTCTCTGCTTTATGTGCACTTTTTCTTAATGGATGCTAATTCCAAAAAAGTAAAAACAAAAAGTAAGCAGTAATATGTAATGAATGACATTTTCTCCTAGTCTGGATCTACCACATGGGAAATTGCCACTACAGGGGCATCTGCCTGATTCTTCCTCCTGTGGCAGAAAATTCATGTCTCTATTCATATATCATTTTCTGCATAGAACATAATCTCCAAGAGGAAAAAGGTCTTCAGTGTAAATGGGTTCAAATTTTCCAGGGGTGGCCAAACTTGCTTAATGTAAGAGCCACATAAAATAAATGTCAGATGTTTGAGAGCTGCAAGACATGAACAAATATTACACACATTTTTATTGGAAAATATGCACATTTGCTTTTTGTTAACATTATAAATGAGACTGCCAAAATAAAAACAAAAGGGGTAAAAACAGATATTGATAATGATATTTATTTGTCCAATGAGAAAGAAAGAGAGAGGGGTGGACAGAAAGAATGAAAGAGGTGGAAAGAAAGAGAGAGAGGGAAACAAGGAAAGCAAACAGATGGTGGAGGGAGGGAGGGAGGGGGAATGAAGAGAGAGAGAGAGAGAAAGAGAAAGAAAGGTGGAAAGAGAGCAAATAGATGAATAATGGAGGGAGGAATGGGGAAAGAGAGAGAAAAACAAAGCAAATAGATGGGGAGGGAGGGGGAGGGAGGATGGAATGAAAGAAGGGAGAAAGCTGAAAAGAATGAAAGAAGTGGAAGGGAAGGAGAGAGAGGGAGAAACAGAAACAAAGAAAGCAAATAGATGGGGAGGGAGGAAGGGAGGGAGGGGGAGGAAGGAAGGAAGAGAGACAGAGAACGAAAGAAAGAAAGAAAGAAAGAAAGAAAGAAAGAAAGAAAACAGATGGGGAAGGGAGGTAAAAAG